CATTATTCTTTTAAATAAGTAACATGGCTGGGCATGGTAGCTACACCTGTAATCCCAGCACTCTGGGAGGCCGAGGAGGGTGGATCACTTGAGGTCAGGAGTTCAAGACCAGCCTGGCCAACATGGTGAAACCCCATCTCTACTAAAAATATAAAAAAATTAGCCAGGCATGGTGGTGCAGGCCTGTAGATCCAGCTACTCAGGAGGCTGAAGCAGGAGAATCGCTTGAACTCTGGGGGCAGAAATTGCAGTGAGCCAAGACCAGCCACTGCACTCCAGCCTGGGCTCCAGAGCCAGACTACGTATCCAAAAAAAAAAAAGTATTTAAAAGTTTAGCAACTGCCCTGCCATTTATGAAAAATTGAATTTCCCCCATGATTTGAAACACCACCTTTAGTGTATTAGGTTCTATTTCTGCAATTTGTTTCCTTAATTTGTCTCACTAACCAAACTTTTATATCATATTTTGAATAAATCACATTTTGTCATATTTTGATAATTGATAAGGGGAGTACCTCTGCTCATTGTTCTTTTTCCAGAATTTGCTCCATTATGCTTACATTTTTATTTTTTCAGATGACCTTGAACATTGTCATCAGGCCAGGTTCCAAAAGATAAATAACTGTATTATTTTGATCTGGAACTCATCATTTTTAGATCCTAATCCTCATATGCTCACAATCGTTATATGAGAAGAAACGAATCATTTGAGCCCTGTTGTTTTCCATCCTTCTGAACTAGCCCTTTGGCAGATGGAAAGCCTTCTCAAATGGATAGGTGTTAGGTTGATGGCCTTAAGTGTTATACAGCTTTTTTTCTTGTCTACTGTAAGCCTCAAGCCCAGAATGTTATGAAAAAAAGCCTGTACTATAGGTCAACCATGACCCTCTGATTGAGGGTCATGTTGATTATCATTTTGTATTCTCAAGGTCAGAATACTGTTGGAGAAGTTATAGGAACTTTTTGCCCTTGACACTGCTCTAATGTTCCTGCAAAATAACCAAAATGACAATCATAATAATAATAGTTAGCCAGTATTATTTGGTGTTTACCTTGTGCAAGGGACAAGTGCTTTCTTCCTTTCTTTTTTTTTTTTTTTATTTTTTTTTA